GCGGCCCTGTTCAGAGGGGACCACCGCTCGATGATTTGGCTGGTGAGCTATTTGCGTCAGCTTTGCAGCACATTTGGCAATGCCACCTGCTCCCAGCAGTCCGTTCAGCCAATGGCCCCGGCTTCTATCTCGTGGACTGTGGCTTGCCCCGTGCCTTGCGTGCCAAGCTGCCCGGGGCCTTCTTGCCTAGTCTCTCGCCCTCATAGGAGTCCAGAAGAGCCGCCATCAGCGAGACGTACTTGGCCAAGGGGGAGTGCAACACCGGCCTGTAGTCCAGTATGAGGTGATCCTTCTTGGCGCTCAGCCGGGCAGAGCAGTACGCCACGTGCGTCGTCAGAAAGGCATGCGGTTCCGGGCCTAGGTCGGAGACCCATTTCTCAAAGTCCTTGAGAGCTCCAGAATCTATGCCGGGGGGGATTTGCTTGGACTTGGAGAGCTCAAAAAGCAGCGCTCCGGCCACGTAATGGTGGATTGCGCCAAAGGGATGAGCCTTGCCTTGCTTGTGCTCAGCCTGCCACGCCTGTACAAACTTCAGCAGCATCTGGGATAGCGGTTGTCCCGCCGGCAGTTTGTAGACCAGCGAGGTCTGAAGCTGCACCAAGGCAAGCTGTTCGTCATGAAGGAGAAAGGCCTGCGTGAGCTCCTGATTTGTGAGAGCTTTGATGCCAGATTTGGGACCCGTCCCGCCCCCCCCCCAGATGGGAGGCTGGACGACTGGGCATGAGGTGCACCGAAGTTCGCGGTGCCTGGAGGGCCGTCCGGCATGTCGGCATCTTCTTGATGTGCATCGGCTGATATTCGTGTGCGTTTGTGATCTGGGCTCTTGCCCGGACTTTTCGATGCGCCGGCCATAGCTTGGATTGAACTTGCTGCACTCGACTTGAAAAGAAAAGCTGCGGTAGGCCCGCACATGCCTATAGCATGTTTGGCCTTGACGTGGGGCGGGTCAGCCCACCTGTTGTGGGATCTGACCTTCCCACGCACAGGCACCCCAGGAGGTGCTAGCATTAACGACGGGGGCCGGCACCTACCTTTAAGGTAGGTCGGTTCACTGCTTTTTAAGAAAAAGTACGTAGCTGCCTTGCCGGATGCGTTGCCGGTCTGAGGCTGCGGCGAGCTGTGGTCGAGCGTTGTCATCACTGATCCAGACACCTGATCGATCGGGGGTGTACCAAAAGGACCTGTAATGACCTGCCTGAATTGTTGGGCCCAAGTGGTAGACCCCTGCCTCGACGCTGTACGCGTGTAGCGTACTGGACTGTCCCTCGTCCCATACCGGGAACTGAATGTCCTGTGCCAGCTCCAGCGCCTGCTCGTTCTTCGAGCCATGCTCCCAGCGTCCCAGGATGAGGACAAGTAAGGCCGGCGCCAACATGAGACCTCTAGAAGCTGCCTGCGCATACCAGGAGGAGCATACGCCGCGCAGGCTGGTGCAGTCCGTTGGGATGGGAAGAAAGATGGGGGTGAAACCCGTGTCCGTGGGGTCTGGCTGTCCTGCTATCCGGCCTTGCCAAGGCACCGCTTGCAAGTCGCCTGAGTCTGCATTGGTTAAGTCCATGTAGAACTCCGATGCGTCCTGTTGTCGGCCGTCGAAACGCCAATTCGGGAGTATGTTTCGAAGCGCGAAGGTGGAGACCAGGTTTAACGGTCTGGCCGCTCTCGAATGGTCGCTGCATTGCAGCAGAAGCGGGCTGAGGGCCGCAAAGTGGCCTCCCCTTGCTCGTAGGATGCACAGGGCAGTGATGATTGAATTAGCGTAGCAGCTATTGCTGTTATTGCTAAAGGTCCTTACTGCGAAGCCATCCGACGTCGTCTGCAATGAGCCCAAGTCGCATCGGTTGTCTGTTTTGCCAGGTGCATCGCTGGCCGACCGAGGCTGCGTTTGGACAATGTCCCCGAGGTGTTTCTGAATGGACAATGTCTCCTGCCGCTGTCTCTGCTTGGCCGGGCTGGCTAGTGGCCCAGGAAGAGCGCTGCGAGTCCGGACCCAACCCAGACAGACCTGATAGAGTACAACGCATTGCTCTGGGTGCTTGCGCCGGTCATGGACCTTCCTGCGACAGAACGGGCAGGTGAGGCCCTTGACCAGCTGTGCCGAGTAGCCCGCGCATAGCTTCTCAACCTGAGTGTGTACGCGTCCCCATTCCTGAGGGTGGGCCTGTCTGATGTGAGACTTGACCTTCTTGAAGTCCATAGTCCAGAAGCCACAGATGATGCAGCGGCTTTGAAGCAGCTCCGTGGACGGGTCCTTGGCGATGGTTCCCAGGCCCTCCCGAGGCGTGTCCTGCAGACTCTCGTTTAACTGTTTCAACTGCCGTTGAACTGGTCCCGGGGACTCTGTCGCTGCCTGGGTAATATCCCGCAGTTTATGGGGACAAGGGCAGGCCCCTGAAAGCAGGTGATCTCGCAGACCCTTCCATTGCTTAAATTCCTTCCGGCAAGCAGAGCAGAC